TGGTGTTTTAGACTGGGGAATACTTCCCATAAGGGAAAGGGAATGTGCTCTCAGTCCATATTAAACATATCTGATCCTGGAAGGAGGGATGGAACTTCTTCTGTGAAACTCTGGCAAGTAAATGGTAAAACCCTGAATGAAAGTTTAGAAGGGATACAAGATAATGTGGGGAAAACTATGTTTGGAAAACATATAAATATCAGGTGCAGCGCTATACCTAAGTGCACTAAATCAATATAAATATAAAGTGCAAACTAACTATTCAAAGTGCTCTAAATATTACCACAAAGTATTATACTTATGTGCAAAAATTGTGCATTAACAGAATGCTGTGCAACCCGTGTATTAAAAAATATAAATAAAGTGCAATTAGTGACAACCAAATCACTACAATCATGGTGGTTATACATAATAGTAAATCCAAATCAGTTGTTTTTAAAGTAAAAAAGTGTCCAAATGCAACAAAACTTTTCAATCTTCATGCATGTGTTACGTGTCCACACTGTGTAAATCCACACTTTAGCCGTGATGGCCCCTCACCTCCTTGTCACGACCCCTCAGGGTCAGCTGGCTTAAACCAGGACACCACTTTTTAGTAGCTCACCAGGACCTCACCCGCCTCTTATACTCTATCAGCAGTCTCCTCCACGATTCATATACAGACACAAAAGAGACTCACATAGTGTAATCCTGTTTTAGTTCTCATAGTAAATGTAAAATAAAATTGCCCACTCACATTTATGTTCATCTCCTCATGAGCCTTCAATACCCCATGCTATGAATCTCCTGCATGGGTATTTCAATAGAGGGATCTCAAATATGGCCGCCACGCCGGAAATGACGTCACCGCGCTCCCAGAATCCTCCTCACGTACCGACGCGTTATGTCACGGTAACACGTGACTTCCTCAGGGTTAATGCCCACCGAGGGCCGGATTCTATAAATACTTCTCCCCCAACTCCAATCAGCATTGAGGGCGGACCCGAGCGGCCATTTTCTCGGAGTCCTCCTACATTAGCCATTATTGCGGTGACCATAACACTACAGGAAGGATACGAAGCAACGGACCGGCCATCCATTCATTCTTCCCCCTACAGCTATACAACTGTGATCCTCCACCTACGGACTACAGATGCCAGCCTTTCTAAATATTTAATAATAATAATAATAATAATAATAATAATAATAATAGATTGTAACAATTAGTTATTAAAAATCCTAAAACTGGGGGAATTGTATATTATATAAACCATATATGGACAACATCTTTTACCAAAACTATACTCTCACTCCCCCTACTGGAAGCAATACATACTACACTATTAAATTAAACTAATCATAAAAACTAATTTTATTAATATTACATAAAATCAATAAGACAAAAATACCCATGGATTCATTCATAGCATCGGTTTACAAATTAAATAATAAAATAAAATAGTAAAACCAATCAATTCCTAATACCTCACTACTAAAAATACTACACCTAATAAAAAGGTACATTACTATTACACATACAAATATTAATACTCCTTCTAAATATTTACGTACAGATCACTGTGTAGAATTATCATAACTGATTCTAATAAAAACAAATTTCAATAAATAAAAAAACTGATTAAAATCACTAAATCCCTATAATATACAAAACCAGATATTACCTCGTAAACCTCTAAACTCGTTAATAATCACTAATGATGCAGTTTAAATCGAAATCTACGTTTAAGCCTTTCGGGACCTGAGTCTTCATATCAAAAATCCATTTTGATTCGGATTTACTCAGGGACCTTACTTTATGACTCCCCCTCCAATGACCCTTATATTTCTCTATTCCCCAAAATTGTAACTTAGAGGGGTCCTTATTATGATGGGTCAAAAAATGTCTAGGTACACTGTGTTTAACTGATCCCTTCTTTATTTTTTGTATATGCTCTCTTAACCGCTTCCACAAGGGTCTCTTTGTCCTCCCCACGTACTGAAGACCGCAAGAACATTCCAAGCAGTACACCACCCCTTCCGTTTTACATGAGATAAATTCACCAATATTATACTCATTTCCTGTGACTGTCGATTTAAATGACGATTTTTTCTTATTTACCCCCTTAGTTTCTTTACACGCATAGCACTTTCTACACTGAAAAAACCAGCCACATCCAGAAATGTCACGGTTTTCTTATTGGGTGGATCAATTACATTCTTTACTACTTTTGTCCTTATTGAAGGGGCCTTCCTATAAATAAATCTCGGACGATCTGATAAAACAGTACCTAGCACTGGGTCCGCTTTCAAAAGAGGCCAATGTTTTTTAAAAATACCTTCCACCATTTTAAAATGCAGATTAAAATCTAAAATTATAGCCAACTGGTCTTGATCTTTCTTCTTTTCATTTCTATCCTTCAAAAAATCATACCTATCCATATCTCCTACTTCTTTCTTATTTTTTTCAATACATTCTTGTGTATACCCCTTCTTCAGGAATCTCAGGGAGGAAGAGATGATTTACTCACATTATAGAGAAGAGTTATTGATATACAAACGATTTATTGATGATGTGTTTTTAGTGTGGAGGGGAAGTTTGGAATCCCTGCGAGAATTTCTTGACATTCTAAATGATAACCAGAAGAATATTAAATTAACATGGGAAATTGATAGTGAATCTATTAACTTTCTGGATTTGAACATTAGAATTATGAATAATTAACTTATCACTAAAACATATTTTAAAGAGGTAGATCGGAATGGATATATTCCTATAGGAAGCTGCCACTATCCCCCGTGGTTAATGAACATTCCGAAAGGACAATTTGTCCGTTTAAGGAGAAACTGCACTCTAAAGGAAGAATATTTGGAACAAAGCAATGTAATAGGGGAGAGATACCTGAAGAAGGGGTATACACAAGAATGTATTGAAAAAAATAAGAAAGAAGTAGGAGATATGGATAGGTATGATTTTTTGAAGGATAGAAATGAAAAGAAGAAAGATCAAGACCAGCTGGCTATAATTTTAGATTTTAATCTGCATTTTAAACCGATGCTATGAATGAATCCATGGGTATTTTTGTCTTATTGATTTTATGTAATATTAATAAAATTCGTTTTTATGATTAGTTTAATTTAATAGTGTAGTATGTATTGCTTCCAGTAGGGGGAGTGAAAGTATAGTTTTGGTAAAAGATGTTGTCCATATATGGTTTATAATATACAATTCCCCCTAATTGTTACAATCTATTATTATTATTATTATTATTAAATATTTAGAAAGGCTGGCATCTGTAGTCCGTAGGTAGAGGATCACAGTTGTATAGCTGTATAGGGGGAAGAATGAATGGATGGCCGGTCCGTTGCTTCGTATCCTTCCTGTAGTGTTATGGTCACCGCAATAATGGCTAATGTAGGAGGACTCCGAGTAAATGGCCGCTCGGGTCCGCCCTCAATGCTGATTGGAGTTGGGGGAGAAGTATTTATAGAATCCGGCCCTCGGTGGGCGTTAACCCTGAGGAAGTCACGTGTTACCGTGACGCAACGCGTCGGTACGCGAGGAGGATTCTGGGAGCGCGGTGACGTCATTTCCGGCGTGGCGGCCATATTTGAGATCCCTCTATTGAAATACCCATGCAGGAGATTCATAGCATGGGGTATTGAAGGCTCATGAGGAGATGAACATAAATGTGAGTGGGCAATTTTATTTTACATTTACTATGAGAATTAAAACAGGATTACACTATGTGAGTCTCTTTTGTGTCTGTATATGAATCGTGGAGGAGACTGCTGATAGAGTATAAGAGGCGGGTGAGGTCCTGGTGAGCTACTAAAAAGTGGTGTCCTGGTTTAAGCGAGCTGACCCTGAGGGGTCGTGACAAGGAGGTGAGGGGCCATCACGGCTAAAGTGTGGATTTACACAGTGTGGACACGTAACACATGCATGAAGATTGAAAAGTTTTTGTTGCATTTGGACACTTTTTTACTTTAAAAACAACTGATTTGGATTTATTATTATTAATAAAAGGGTGTTTCTAGGCTTCAGAGAGCCTTTATATCAGTGCAGAACACTGTACCTTTAATTTAAATGCCTCTTGGAGTCTGCTGGGGAAGAGAAAGAATACTGTCAGTCAGTATGACATGCAGATGAGTGCCGTCGATCTTAGAATCACCGCGCAAACTTCACTCATTTGGGCAGTCACGGGGCCAAAACCAGAGTGTGGAGCCACAGTGTGGCGGTGGAGGCAGCAGCAATGGGAGGCCATACAGCACCCTATGACAAAAATGGAACCCACCAGCAGTGTGAGGAGACCTGAAAGTGGCACATGGCAGAGTGTGGCGATGGAGACAGCAGCAATGGGAGGCCGTACAGGGACCCATGAGAGACACTCTGGACCTGGCAGGGCCCATGGCAGATTACAGGCCTGGCAGCAGCAATGGGAGGCCCGTAATCTGCCAGCACCCTATGACAAAATGGAACACACCAGCAGTGTGAGGAGACCTGAAAGTGGCACAATGGCAGAGTGTGGCGATGGAGACAGCAGCAATGGGAGGCCGTACAGGGACCCATGAGAGACTCTGGACCTGGCAGCAGCATGAGGAGGCGGTACAGGGGCCCATGGCAGATTACGGGCCTGGCAGCAGCAATGGGAGGCCCGTAATCTGCCAGCACCCTATGACAAAATGGAACACACCAGCAGTGTGAGGAGACCTGAAAGTGGCACATGGCAGAGTGTGGCGATGGAGACAGCAGCAATGGAGGCCGTACAGGGACCCATGAGAGACTCTGGACCTGGCAGCAGCATGAGGAGGCGGTACAGGGGCCCATGGCAGATTACGGGCCTGGCAGCAGCAATGGGAGGCCCGTAATCTGCCAGCACCCTATGACAAAATGGAACACACCAGCAGTGTGAGGAGACCTGAAAGTGGCACATGGCAGAGTGTGGCGATGGAGACAGCAGCAATGGGAGGCCGTACAGGGACCCATGAGAGACTCTGGACCTGGCAGCAGCAGATGAGGAGGCGGTACAGGGGCCCATGGCAGATTACGGGCCTGGCAGCAGCAATGGGAGGCCCGTAATCTGCCAGCACCCTATGACAAAATGGAACACACCAGCAGTGTGAGGAGACCTGAAAGTGGCACATGGCAGAGTGTGGCGATGGAGACAGCAGCAATGGGAGGCCGTACAGGGACCCATGAGACACTCTGGACCTGGCAGCAGCATGAGGAGGCGGTAGGGGCCCATGGCAGATTACGGGCCTGGCAGCAGCAATGGGAGGCCCGTAATCTGCCAGCACCCTATGACAAAATGGAACACACCAGCAGTGTGAGGAGACCTGAAAGTGGCACATGGCAGAGTGTGGCGAGGGAGACAGCAGCAATGGGAGGCCGTACAGGGACCCATGAGAGACTCTGGACCTGGCAGCAGCATGAGGAGGCGGTACAGGGGCCCATGGCAGATTACGGGCCTGGCAGCAGCAATGGGAGGCCCGTAATCTGCCAGCACCCTATGACAAAAAATGAACACACCAGCAGTGTGAGGAGACCTGAAAGTGGCACATGGCAGAGTGTGGCGATGGAGACAGCAGCAAATGGGAGGCCGTACAGGGACCCATGAGAGACTCTGGACCTGGCAGCAGCATGAGGAGGCGGTACAGGGGCCCATGGCAGATTACGGGCCTGGCAGCAGCAATGGGAGGCCCGTAATCTGCCAGCACCCTATGACAAAATGGAACACACCAGCAGTGTGAGGAGACCTGAAAGTGGCACATGGCAGAGTGTGGCGATGGAGACAGCAGCAATGGGAGGCCGTACAGGGACCCATGAGAGACACTCTGGACCTGGCAGCAGCATGAGGAGGCGGTACGGGGGCCCATGGCAGATTACGGGCCTGGCAGCAGCAATGGGAGGCCCGTAATCTGCCAGCACCCTATGACAAAATGGAACACACCAGCAGTGTGAGGAGACCTGAAAGTGGCACATGGCAGAGTGTGGCGATGGAGACAGCAGCAGCAATGGGAGGCCGTACAGGGACCCATGAGAGACTCTGGACCTGGCAGCAGCATGAGGAGGCGGTACAGGGGCCCATGGCAGATTACGGGCCTGGCAGCAGCAATGGGAGGCCCGTAATCTGCCAGCACCCTATGACAAAATGGAACACACCAGCAGTGTGAGGAGACCTGAAAGTGGCACATGGCAGAGTGTGTGTGGCGATGGAGACAGCAGCAATGGGAGGCCGTACAGGGACCCATGAGAGACTCTGGACCTGGCAGCAGCATGAGGAGGCGGTACGGGGGCCCATGGCAGATTACGGGCCTGGCAGCAGCAATGGGAGGCCCGAATCTGCCAGCACCCTATGACAAAATGGAACACACCAGCAGTGTGAGGAGACCTGAAAGTGGCACATGGCAGAGTGTGGCGATGGAGACAGCAGCAGCAATGGGAGGCCGTACAGGGACCCATGAGAGACACTCTGGACCTGGCAGCAGCATGAGGAGGCGGTACAGGGGCCCATGGCAGCAGATTACGGGCCTGGCAGCAGCAATGGGAGGCCCGTAATCTGCCAGCACCCTATGAGCACCCTATGAAAAAAAATGGAACACACCAGCAGTGTGAGGAGACCTGAAAGTGGCACATGGCAGAGTGTGGCGATGGAGACAGCAGCAATGGGAGGCCGTACAGGGACCCATGAGAGACTCTCTGGACCTGGCAGCAGCATGAGGAGGCGGTACAGGGGCCCATGGCAGATTACGGGCCTGGCAGCAGCAATGGGAGGCCCGTAATCTGCCAGCACCCTATGACAAAATGGAACACACCAGCAGTGTGAGGAGACCTGAAAGTGGCACATGGCAGAGTGTGGCGATGGAGACAGCAGCAATGGGAGGCCGTACAGGGACCCATGAGAGACTCTGGACCTGGCAGCAGCATGAGGAGGCGGTACAGGGGCCCATGGCAGATTTACGGGCCTGGCAGCAGCAATGGGAGGCCCGTAATCTGCCAGCACCCTATGACAAAAAATGGAACACACCAGCAGTGTGAGGAGACCTGAAAGTGGCACATGGCAGAGTGTGGCGATGGAGACAGCAGCAATGGGAGGCCGTACAGGGACCCATGAGACACTCTGGACCTGGCAGCAGCATGAGGAGGCGGTACAGGGGCCCATGGCAGATTACGGGCCTGGCAGCAGCAATGGGAGGCCCGTAATCTGCCAGCACCCTATGACAAAAAATGGAACACACCAGCAGTGTGAGGAGACCCTGAAAGTGGCACATGGCAGAGTGTGGCGATGGAGACAGCAGCAATGGGGGAGGCCGTACAGGGACCCATGAGAGACTGGACCTGGCAGCAGCATGAGGAGGCGGTACAGGGGCCCATGGCAGATTACGGGCCTGGCAGCAGCAATGGGAGGCCCGTAATCTGCCAGCACCCTATGACAAAATGGAACACACACACCAGCAGTGTGAGGAGACCTGAAAGTGGCACATGGCAGAGTGTGGCGATGGAGACAGCAGCAATGGGAGGCCGTACAGGGACCCATGAGAGACTCTGGACCTGGCAGCAGCATGAGGAGGCGGTACGGGGGCCCATGGCAGATTACGGGCCTGGCAGCAGCAATGGGAGGCCCGTAATCTGCCAGCACCCTATGACAAAATGGAACACACCAGCAGTGTGAGGAGACCTGAAAGTGGCACATGGCAGAGTGTGGCGATGGAGACAGCAGCAATGGGAGGCCGTACAGGGACCCATGAGAGACTCTGGACCTGGACCTGGCAGCAGCATGAGGAGGCGGTACAGGGGCCCATGGCAGATTACGGGCCTGGCAGCAGCAATGGGAGGCCCGTAATCTGCCAGCACCCTATGACAAAAAATGGAACACACCAGCAGTGTGAGGAGACCTGAAAGTGGCACATGGCAGAGTGTGGCGATGGAGACAGCAGCAATGGGAGGCCGTACAGGGACCCATGAGAGACTCTGGACCTGGGCAGCAGCATGAGGAGGCGGTACGGGGGCCCATGGCAGATTACGGGCCTGGCAGCAGCAATGGGAGGCCCGTAATCTGCCAGCACCCTATGACAAAAAATGGAACACACCAGCAGTGTGAGGAGACCTGAAAGTGGCACATGGCAGAGTGTGGCGATGGAGACAGCAGCAATGGGAGGCCGTACAGGGACCCATGAGAGACTCTGGACCTGGCAGCAGCATGAGGAGGCGGTACGGGGGCCCATGGCAGATTACGGGGGCCTGGCAGCAGCAATGGGAGGCCCGTAATCTGCCAGCACCCTATGACAAAAAATGGAACACACCAGCAGTGTGAGGAGACCTGAAAGTGGCACATGGCAGAGTGTGGCGATGGAGACACAGCAGCAATGGGAGGCCGTACAGGGACCCATGAGAGACTCTGGACCTGGCAGCAGCATGAGGAGGCGGTAGGGGCCCATGGCAGATTACGGGCCTGGCAGCAGCAATGGGAGGCCCGTAATCTGCCAGCACCCTATGACAAAAAATGGAACACACCAGCAGTGTGAGGAGACCTGAAAGTGGCACATGGCAGAGTGTGGCGATGGAGACAGCAGCAATGGGAGGCCGTACAGGGACCCATGAGAGACTCTGGACCTGGCAGCAGCATGAGGAGGCGGTACAGGGGCCCATGGCAGATTACGGGCCTGGCAGCAGCAATGGGAGGCCCGTAATCTGCCAGCACCCTATGACAAAATGGAACACACCAGCAGTGTGAGGAGACCTGAAAGTGGCACATGGCAGAGTGTGGCGATGGAGACAGCAGCAATGGGAGGCCGTCAGGGACCCATGAGAGACACTCTGGACCTGGCAGCAGCATGAGGAGGCGGTACAGGGGCCCATGGCAGATTACGGGCCTGGCAGCAGCAATGGGAGGCCCGTAATCTGCCAGCACCCTATGACAAAAAAATGGAACACACCAGCAGTGTGAGGAGACCTGAAAGTGGCACATGGCAGAGTGTGGCGATGGAGACAGCAGCAATGGGAGGCCGTACAGGGACCCATGAGAGACTCTGGACCTGGCAGCAGCATGAGGAGGCGGTACAGGGGCCCATGGCAGATTACGGGCCTGGCAGCAGCAATGGGAGGCCCGTAATCTGCCAGCACCCTATGACAAAAAATGGAACACACCAGCAGTGTGAGGAGACCTGAAAGTGGCACATGGCAGAGTGTGGCGATGGAGACAGCAGCAATGGGAGGCCGTACAGGGACCCATGAGAGACTCTGGACCTGGCAGCAGCATGAGGAGGCGGTACACGGGGGCCCATGGCAGATTACGGGCCTGGCAGCAGCAATGGGAGGCCCGTAATCTGCCAGCACCCTATGACAAAATGGAACACACCAGCAGTGTGAGGAGACCTGAAAGTGGCACATGGCAGAGTGTGGCGATGGAGACAGCAGCAATGGGAGGCCGTACAGGGACCCATGAGACACTGGACCTGGCAGCAGCATGAGGAGGCGGTACAGGGGCCCATGGCAGATTACGGGCCTGGCAGCAGCAATGGGAGGCCCGTAATCTGCCAGCACCCTATGACAAAATGGAACACACCAGCAGTGTGAGGAGACCTGAAAGTGGCACATGGCAGAGTGTGGCGATGGAGACAGCAGCAATGGGAGGCCGTACAGGGACCCATGAGACACTCTGGACCTGGCAGCAGCATGAGGAGGCGGTACAGGGGCCCCATGGCAGATTACGGGCCTGGCAGCAGCAATGGGAGGCCCGTAATCTGCCAGCACCCTATGACAAAAAATGGAACACACCAGCAGTGTGAGGAGACCTGAAAGTGGCACATGGCAGAGTGTGGCGTGTGGCGATGGAGACAGCAGCAATGGGAGGCCGTACAGGGACCCATGAGAGACTCTGGACCTGGCAGCAGCATGAGGAGGCGGTACAGGGGCCCATGGCAGATTACGGGCCTGGCCTGCAGCAGCAGCAATGGGAGGCCCGTAATCTGCCAGCACCCTATGACAAAAAAAATGGAACACACCAGCAGTGTGAGGAGACCTGAAAGTGGCACATGGCAGAGTGTGGCGATGGAGACAGCAGCAATGGGAGGCCGTACAGGGACCCATGAGAGACTCTGGACCTGGCAGCAGCATGAGGAGGCGGTACAGGGGCCCATGGCAGATTACGGGCCTGGCAGCAGCAATGGGAGGCCCGTAATCTGCCAGCACCCTATGACAAAATGGAACACACCAGCAGTGTGAGGAGACCTGAAAGTGGCACATGGCAGAGTGTGGCATGGAGACAGCAGCAATGGGAGGCCGTACAGGGACCCATGAGAGACTCTGGACCTGGCAGCAGCATGAGGAGGCGGTACAGGGGCCCATGGCAGATTACGGGCCTGGCAGCAGCAATGGGAGGCCCGTAATCTGCCAGCACCCTATGACAAAAAATGGAACACACCAGCAGTGTGAGGAGACCTGAAAGTGGCACATGGCAGAGTGTGGCGATGGAGACAGCAGCAATGGGAGGCCGTACAGGGACCCATGAGACACTCTGGACTCTGGACCTGGCAGCAGCATGAGGAGGCGGTACGGGGGCCCATGGCAGATTACGGGCCTGGCAGCAGCAATGGGAGGCCCGTAATCTGCCAGCACCCTATGACAAAAAATGGAACACACCAGCAGTGTGAGGAGACCTGAAAGTGGCACATGGCAGAGTGTGGCGATGGAGACAGCAGCAATGGGAGGCCGTACAGGGACCCATGAGAGACTCTGGACCTGGCAGCAGCATGAGGAGGCGGTACGGGGGCCCATGGCAGATTACGGGCCTGGCAGCAGCAGCAATGGGAGGCCCGTAATCTGCCAGCACCCTATGACAAAATGGAACACACCAGCAGTGTGAGGAGACCTGAAAGTGGCACATGGCAGAGTGTGGCGATGGAGACAGCAGCAATGGGAGGCCGTACAGGGACCCATGAGACACTCTGGACCTGGCAGCAGCATGAGGAGGCGGTACGGGGGCCCATGGCAGATTACGGGCCTGGCAGCAGCAATGGGAGGCCCGTAATCTGCCAGCACCCTATGACAAAAAATGGAACACACCAGCAGTGTGAGGAGACCTGAAAGTGGCACATGGCAGAGTGTGGCGATGGAGACAGCAGCAATGGGAGGCCGTACAGGGACCCATGAGAGACTCTGGACCTGGCAGCAGCATGAGGAGGCGGTACGGGGGCCCATGGCAGATTACGGGCCTGGCAGCAGCAATGGGAGGCCCGTAATCTGCCAGCACCCTATGACAAAATGGAACACACCAGCAGTGTGAGGAGACCTGAAAGTGGCACATGGCAGAGTGTGGCGATGGAGACAGCAGCAATGGGAGGCCGTACAGGGACCCCATGAGAGACTCTGGACCTGGCAGCAGCATGAGGAGGCGGTACAGGGGCCCATGGCAGATTACGGGCCTGGCAGCAGCAATGGGAGGCCCGTAATCTGCCAGCACCCTATGACAAAATGGAACACACCAGCAGTGTGAGGAGACCTGAAAGTGGCACATGGCAGAGTGTGGCGATGGAGACAGCAGCAATGGGAGGCCGTACAGGGACCCATGAGAGACTCTGGACCTGGCAGCAGCATGAGGAGGCGGTACAGGGGCCCATGGCAGATTACGGGCCTGGCAGCAGCAATGGGAGGCCCGTAATCTGCCAGCACCCTATGACAAAAAATGGAACACACCAGCAGTGTGAGGAGACCTGAAAGTGGCACATGGCAGAGTGTGGCGATGGAGACAGCAGCAATGGATGGGAGGCCGTACAGGGACCCATGAGAGACTCTCTGGACCTGGCAGCAGCATGAGGAGGCGGTACAGGGGCCCATGGCAGATTACGGGCCTGGCAGCAGCAATGGGAGGCCCGTAATCTGCCAGCACCCTATGACAAAATGGAACACACCAGCAGTGTGAGGAGACCTGAAAGTGGCACATGGCAGAGTGTGGCGATGGAGACAGCAGCAATGGGAGGCCGTACAGGGACCCATGAGACTCTGGACCTGGCAGCAGCATGATGAGGAGGCGGTACGGGGGCCCATGGCAGATTACGGGCCTGGCAGCAGCAATGGGAGGCCCGTAATCTGCCAGCACCCTATGACAAAAAATGGAACACACCAGCAGTGTGAGGAGACCTGAAAGTGGCACATGGCAGAGTGTGGCGATGGAGACAGCAGCAATGGGAGGCCGTACAGGGACCCATGAGAGACTCTGGACCTGGCAGCAGCATGAGGAGGCGGTACAGGGGCCCATGGCAGATTACGGGCCTGGCAGCAGCAATGGGAGGCCCGTAATCTGCCAGCACCCTATGACAAAAAATGGAACACACACCACCAGCAGTGTGAGGAGACCTGAAAGTGGCACATGGCAGAGTGTGGCGATGGAGACAGCAGCAATGGGAGGCCGTACAGGGACCCATGAGACACTCTGGACCTGGCAGCAGCATGAGGAGGCGGTACAGGGGCCCATGGCAGATTACGGGCCTGGCAGCAGCAATGGGAGGCCCGTAATCTGCCAGCACCCTATGACAAAAAATGGAACACACCAGCAGTGTGAGGAGACCTGAAAGTGGCACATGGCAGAGTGTGGCGATGGAGACAGCAGCAATGGGAGGCCGTACAGGGACCCATGAGAGACTCTGGACCTGGCAGCAGCATGAGGAGGCGGTACAGGGGCCCATGGCAGATTACGGGCCTGGCAGCAGCAATGGAGGCCCGTAATCTGCCAGCACCCTATGACAAAATGGAACACACCAGCAGTGTGAGGAGACCTGAAAGTGGCACATGGCAGAGTGTGGCGATGGAGACAGCAGCAATGGGAGGCCGTACAGGGACCCATGAGAGACTCTGGACCTGGCAGCAGCATGAGGAGGCGGTACGGGGGCCCATGGCAGATTACGGGCCTGGCAGCAGCAATGGGAGGCCCGTAATCTGCCAGCACCCTATGACACAAAATGGAACACACCAGCAGTGTGAGGAGACCTGAAAGTGGCACATGGCAGAGTGTGGCGATGGAGACAGCAGCAATGGGAGGCCGTACAGGGACCCATGAGAGACTCTGGACCTGGCAGCAGCATGAGGAGGCGGTACGGGGGCCCATGGCAGATTACGGGCCTGGCAGCAGCAATGGGAGGCCCGTAATCTGCCAGCACCCTATGACAAAAAATGGAACACACCAGCAGCAGTGTGAGGAGACCTGAAAGTGGCACATGGCAGAGTGGCGATGGAGACAGCAGCAATGGGAGGCCGTACAGGGACCCATGAGACACTCTGGACCTGGCAGCAGCATGAGGAGGCGGTACGGGGGCCCATGGCAGATTACGGGCCTGGCAGCAGCAATGGGAGGCCCGTAATCTGCCAGCACCCTATGACAAAATGGAACACACCAGCAGTGTGAGGAGACCTGAAAGTGGCACATGGCAGAGTGTGGCGATGGAGACAGCAGCAATGGGAGGCCGTACAGGGACCCATGAGAGACTCTGGACCTGGCAGCAGCATGAGGAGGCGGTACGGGGGCCCATGGCAGATTACGGGCCTGGCAGCAGCAATGGGAGGCCCGTAATCTGCCAGCACCCTATGACAAAAAATGGAACACACCAGCAGTGTGAGGAGACCTGAAAGTGGCACATGGCAGAGTGTGGCGATGGAGACAGCAGCAATGGGAGGCCGTACAGGGACCCATGAGAGACTCTGGACCTGGCAGCAGCATGAGGAGGCGGTACAGGGGCCCATGGCAGATTACGGGCCTGGCAGCAGCAATGGGAGGGCCCGTAATCTGCCAGCACCCTATGACAAAATGGAACACACCAGCAGTGTGAGGAGACCTGAAAGTGGCACATGGCAGAGTGTGGCGATGGAGACAGCAGCAATGGGAGGCCGTACAGGGACCCATGAGAGACTCTGGACCTGGCAGCAGCATGAGGAGGCGGTACAGGGGCCCATGGCAGATTACGGGCCTGGCAGCAGCAATGGGAGGCCCGTAATCTGCCAGCACCCTATGACAAAATGGAACACACCAGCAGTGTGAGGAGACCTGAAAGTGGCACATGGCAGAGTGTGGCGATGGAGACAGCAGCAATGGGAGGCCGTACAGGGACCCATGAGAGACTCTGACCTGGACCTGGCAGCAGCATGAGGATGAGGCGGTACAGGGGCCCATGGCAGATTACGGGCCTGGCAGCAGCAATGGGAGGCCCGTAATCTGCCAGCACCCTATGACAAAATGGAACACACCAGCAGTGTGAGGAGACCTGAAAGTGGCACATGGCAGAGTGTGGCGATGGAGACAGCAGCAATGGGAGGCCGTACAGGGACCCATGAGACACTCTGGACCTGGCAGCAGCATGAGGAGGCGGTACGGGGGCCCATGGGCAGATTACGGGCCTGGCAGCAGCAATGGGAGGCCCGTAATCTGCCAGCACCCCTATGACAAAATGGAACACACCAGCAGTGTGAGGAGACCTGAAAGTGGCACATGGCAGAGTGTGGCGATGGAGACAGCAGCAATGGGAGGCCGTACAGGGACCCATGAGAGACTCTGGACCTGGCAGCAGCATGAGGAGGCGGTACAGGGGCCCATGGCAGATTACGGGCCTGGCAGCAGCAATGGGAGGCCCGTAATCTGCCAGCACCCTATGACAAAATGGAAACACACCAGCAGTGTGAGGAGACCTGAAAGTGGCACATGGCAGAGTGTGGCGATGGAGACAGCAGCAGCATGGGAGGCCGTACAGGGACCCATGAGAGACTCTGGACCTGGCAGCAGCATGAGGAGGCGGTACAGGGGCCCATGGCAGATTACGGGCCTGGCAGCAGCAATGGGAGGCCCGTAATCTGCCAGCACCCTATGACAAAATGGAACACACCAGCAGTGTGAGGAGACCTGAAAGTGGCACATGGCAGAGTGTGGCGATGGAGACAGCAGCAATGGGAGGCCGTACAGGGACCCATGAGACACTCTGGACCTGGCAGCAGCATGAGGAGGCGGTACAGGGGGCACATGGCAGAGTGTGGCGATGGAGACAGCAGCAATGGGAGGCCGTACACAGGGACCCATGAGAGACTCTGGACCTGGCAGCAGCATGAGGAGGCGGTACAGGGGCCCATGGCAGATTACGGGCCTGGCAGCAGCAATGGGAGGCCCGTAATCTGCCAGCACCCTATGACAAAAAATGGAACACACCAGCAGTGTGAGGAGACCTGAAAGTGGCACATGGCAGAGTGTGGCGATGGAGACAGCAGCAATGGGAGGCCGTACAGGGACCCATGAGACACTCTGGACCTGGCAGCAGCATGAGGAGGCGGTACGGGGGCCCATGGCAGATTACGGGCCTGGCAGCAGCAATGGGAGGCCCGTAATCTGCCAGCACCCTATGACAAAAATGGAACACACCAGCAGTGTGAGGAGACCTGAAAGGCACATGGCAGAGTGTGGCGATGGAGACAGCAGCAATGGGAGGAGCAATGGGAGGCAGTACTCAGGGACCCATGGCAGAGCACACTGAGCAGCAAAGGCCCGTAATCTGCCAGGGGCCCATGAGGAGATTGGTACGGGGGGGCCCATGGCAGATTGAGCATGGGAGAGGCCTTGAAATGCCAGCACCCATGACAAAGAAAACCCATGGAGACAGCAGCACCCTATGAGGCAGTACAGGAACACCCAGCACACTGTGGAGGAGACCAGAATGTGGACATGGCAGAGTGGGCCATGGCAGATTAGGGGCCTGGCAGCAGCATGGGAGGCCCGTAATCTGCCAGCACCCGTACAAAACCCATGAGACACACCAGCAGTTGTGAGGGACCTGAAAGTGGCACATGGCACAGCAGCATGGAGGAGGCGGTACAGGGGCCCAGCAATGGGGCCCAGCACATGGAGGCCCATAGTCAGACTTAGCACGGGTATGACAAAAAATGGGACCAGCAGTGTGAGGAGCATGGCACAGGCAGAGTAATCTGCCAGCAGCCCAATACTGACAAGAGTGCGGTATAGGGGGGGGGTTGGCCTGCAGCCAGCAGCATATGGAGGCCTGGCCAAGCAATGGGAGGCCCGTAATCTGCCCCACCACAGATCACAAAAATGGAACACCTGGCAGCAGTGTGAGGAGACCTGAAAAGTGGCACATGGCAGAGTGTGGCGATGGAGACAGCAGCAATGGGAGCCCGTACAGGGACCATGATGAGACACTTGGACCTGGCAGCAGCATGAGGAGGCGGTATACAGGGGCCCATGGCAGATTAGGGGCCTGGCAGCAGCAATGGGAGGCCCGTAATCTGCCAGCACCCTATGAAAAAATGGAACCACCAGCAGCAGTGTGAGGAGACCTGAAAGTGGCACATGGCAGAGTGTGTTGGGCGATGGAGACAGCAGCAATGGGAGGCCGTACAGGGACCCCATGAGACACTCTGGACCTGGCAGCAGCATGAGGAGGCGGTACAGGTGTGTACAGGGGCCCATGGCAGATTACGGGCCTGGCAGCAGCAATGGAGGCCCGTAATCTGCCAGCACCCTATGACAAAAAATGGAACACACCAGCAGTGTGAGGGAGACCTGAAAGTGGCACATGTTTGGGGCATGATTCATGGCGGATTTAGTCAGTTGTGTCAGAACTGGTGGTTTGAAATCCAGACTAATCCACGCCTGATTCATTTTCACAAACGTGAGTCTCTCCACACTTTGGGTGGACAGTCGTGTCCTCCGCGGAGTTACAATACCTCCTGCCGCACTAAACACGCGCTCCGATGCCACGCTACTGGCCGGGCATGACAGCCTTTCAAGGGCAAATTCAGCTAGTTGGGGCCAAAGGTCAAGTTTCGTTGCCCAGTAGTCAAGGGGATTGTCTACCTCGGTTGGCAGGGTGCTGTCCAAGTAGGCCCAAGCCTGTTGTTTGAGGTCCTGCTCCAGGTCCACCTGATGCTGCTGCTGCTGCGGCTGGTTAGTAGTTTCCTCACTGCGCTGGTGAAGAAAGCTACTCATCATCGACTGCAGACTGAGGCAGCCGCTGCTGGTGGAGCTGCCACTGCTCCCACCACCACCCCACCCCTCCCCTGCTGCCATGGCAGCGGAACGCGAGCGCACAGGGCCCACAGTGTCTGAGGATGGACGTTGGCGCAGAAAGGCAGAGACCAACTGACTACATAGGTGGTTTTTTATAGTACGTTTATTTTGGCCTCCCTCTCAGCAGGTGTGAAAAAGGCCACCATTTTTGAACGGTAGCGAGGGTCCAACAAGGTGGACAGCCAAAAGTCATCCCTCTGTCTGATGGTTATTATTCGGCTGTCGCTACGCAAGCAACCGAGCATGCTATGGGCCATTTGTGCCAAGGAATGCGAGGGACTCCCTGCCTCCATCTCCACAGCATACTGCCACGGTGCGTCTGGGTCCTCTGTCTCCTCCTCCTCCTCTACCAGATGCTCCTGCTCCTCCACTCCTGTCCGCTGAGTGGAAAAACCACCCATTTCACTCAATAATTCCTGAGCACCAATGTCCTCCTCTACCTCCTCCTCTTCTTCCTGTCCTGCCCCCACAGGGGTCATGTGGCGTTGAGAGATCTGTGCGCCACGTCTACCGCACCCTGACCAGCCATTGTTAACAGCATTTGTTTCCAGGACGTGCAACAGAGGAATGACGTCGTTCATCCCATAGTCCTGCCGACTCACGAATAGCGTGGCCTCCTCAAAGGGCCTGAGCAAGCGGCAGGTGTCACGCATGAGCTGCCAATGGCTGACATCGAAGTTACACAGGGGAGTACCTTTATCCGCTTGTAACATCAGGAAATCGGTGATGGGCCTTTCGCTGTTCGTAAAGGCGGTCTAACATGTGTAGGGTTGAATTCCACCTTGTTGCAACGTCGCAGATCAGGCGATGCTGTGGAATTCCGTTCTGCCGCTGCAGCTCAAGGAGGGTGTGCTTTGCGGTGTAGGAATGGCTGAAATGCATGCAAAGTTTACGTGACATTTTAAGGATGTCTTGCAGTGGGATGGTGGATTTTAGGAACCGCTTGACAACCAGATTGAACACGTGAGCCATGCATGGCGCATGGCACAACCTTCCTTGACGCAGAGCAGACACCATGTTCTTTCCGTTGTCGGTCAACATGGTTCCGATTTTCAGTTTGCGCGGAGACAGCCATCTGTCGATTTCTCTGTTCATTACACTCAGAAGTTCCTCCCCTGTGTGACTACGTTCGCCAAGGCATACCAGGTGCAGCACAGCGTGACACCGTTGCGCCCTGCACATGTGATATGCCGGTCGGGGTAATGGGACTTGGCACGGGGGTGGCGGCTGAGGACACGGCGGAAGAAGAGGTGGTAGAGGCGGACATCTTTGCTGGACCAAGGACGTGCAAACGTGGAGGCAAAAGCGGCGTGACCTGTCCAAGTTGCTGGTGCGGCTGTGCTGTGCCGGCACCACGTTCACCCAGTGGGCCGTAAATGACATGTACTGTCCCTGACCGTAGTTACAGCTCCACACGTCGGCGCTGCCGTGCACTTTGGCAGAGACCGACATGCTCAAGACTGGCCCACCATCTCTTCTACATGTGAATGCAGGGCTGGCATTGCCTTTTTGGCGAAGAAATGACGGCTTGGCACTCTCCACCACCGCGGCGCGGCACAAGCCATCATTTCTCGGAAAGGTGCTGAGTCCACCACTTGGAAAGGGAGGGACTGCAGCACCAGCAACTTGGACAGGAGGACGTTCAGCTTTTGCACCGTCGGGTGCGTGCTCGCAAACTGTTGTCTCTTGGAAACGGATTCCAAGAAAGACTGCTGACGGAATCTGTGAAGAGGAGTAGCAGGAGAAGGAGCATCTGAACGAGCGAAGATGCCAACGAGCGACAACTCCCCTCAGCAGAGGTGTTGGAGCCTTGACTGGCTGATAGAGGGCGATTGACGTCGGGTGACGGAGCAAGTAACGGAGCGGGTGATGGAGCGGGGGCTGGGGGGGCAGGCAGAACCGCCGTATTTTTATCACGGTTTTTCCCAGGCCACCAAATGGCGACGCTGCATATGCTGACGCAACGCTGTAGTCCCAACATGGGCCCCCTGGCCACGCTTGACTTTCTGGCCACATAGTCGACATACGGCTACGTTTACTTCCTCGGGCGGCTTGACAAAAAATTGCCACACCGCCGAGTAGTAAACTTTGCCCCCGCTACTCCTCACTGGCTGACTGCTACTTCCTCCGTGCACACCCGGCACCACTACTGGCCGTGGTGGTAGGCTGCAGTGGAGCTGGTGCTCTACTCCGTGGCCGTTTGCCTCCACTGACACTGCTGCGACCCTGCTGCCCCTCCTGGGCAACCCACCGACTGTTTTGCTCGCTGCCAAGCTGGCACCCTCTTCTCCTGATGATGCGGAAGCAATAGCCTGATGACGACGAGGCTGCCAAGTGCGATCAGCCTCATCATCATCAATTAGGGTCTCCGCCTCACTACTAGCCCCCTCGGCTGCGTGTGGGTCAGGAGACAGACCTGTCTCTAGACCGGCTACCGAGCCACTCTCCTCGCCAGTACTTCTTCGCCTGGCTGCTGAAGAGGCGGATGTCTCCCCCCGTTCCTGACCGCCCTCTGTTAGCTCTTCCTCACTGTACAGTGGGGCTGAGCCCACAGCATGCGATACTTCGCTTGGTGAGGGAACACCAAAGGACAGGGGCAGGTAGAGGACACGTGATTTCAGTGGGCTTGCTCCCAGGCCATGCCAACTAACGGTTGTGTCTGACGTACCCACCGACCGTTGTCTGCTGTAGGGTGTCAGAGGTGACCTGGGAAGAGGAAGACGACCGAGCCAACCAATCGATGACGGCAGGGTTGTCGGTGGAGACACGACCGCTGGATGACACCGGGAGCACTGGCCTCTGGCTGCGACTAGTGCTGCCTCGACCCCTTCCTCTGCTGCCACGTCTGCTCGTCTCCTAAAACATTGCCTCCTCTGCCACTCCTCTGCATGTTGTCTGACATACTCTTTAATTCAACGATTCTGTGTCCCTGAGTAACAATTCTGTGTCCCTGAGTAACAATTCTGTGTCTGTCCCTGAGTAACAATTCTGTGTCCCTGAGTAACAATTCTGTGTCCCTCAGTAACAATTCTGTGTCCCTCAGTAACAATTCTGTGTCTGTCCCTGAGTAACAATTCTGTGTCCCTGAGTAACAATTCTGTGTCCCTCAGTAACAATTCTGTGTCCCTGAGTAACAATTCTGTGTCCCTGAGTAACAATTCTGTGTCCCTCAGTAACAATTCTGTGTCCCTCAGTAACACAATTCTGTGTCCCTCAGTAACAATTCTGTGTCCCTGAGTAACAATTCTGTGTCCCTCAGAGTAACAATTCTGTGTCCCTCAGTAACAATTCTGTGTCTGTCCCTGAGTAACAATTCTGTGTCCCTGAGTAACAATTCTGTGTCCCTGAGTAACAATTCTGTGTCCCTCAGTAACAATTCTGTGTCCCTCAGTAACAATTCTGTGTACCTCAGTAACAATTCTGTGTCTGTCCTGTGTAGTAACAATTCTGTGTCTGTCCCTCAGTAACAATTCTGTGTCCCTCAGTAACAATTCTGTGTCCCTGAGTAACAATTATGTGTCCCTGAGTAACAATTCTGTGTCCCTCAGTAACAATTCTGTGTCTGTCCCTGAGTAACAATTCTGTGTCCCTGAGTAACAATTCTGTGTCCCTGAGTAACAATTCTGTGTCCCTCAGTAACAATTCTGTGTCCCTCAGTAACAATTCTGTGTCCCTCAGTAACAATTCTGTGTCTGTCCCTGAGTAACAATTCTGTGTCTGTCCCTCAGTAACAATTCTGTGTCCCTCAGTAACAATTCTGTGTCCCTCAGTAACAATTCTGTGTCTGTCCCTGAGTAACAATTCTGTGTGTCCCTCAGTAACAATTCTGTGTCCCTCAGTAACAATTCTGTGTCCCTCAGTAACAATTCTGTGTCTGTCCCTCAGTAACAATTCTGTGTCCCTCAGTAACAATTCTGTGTCCCTCAGTAACAATTCTGTGTCTGTCCCTGAGTAACAATTCTGTGTCTGTCCCTGAGTAACAATTCTGTGTCCCTGAGTAACAATTCTGTGTCCCTCAGTAACAATTCTGTGTCCCTCAGTAACAATTCTGTGTCTGTCCCTGAGTAACAATTCTGTGTCTCTGTCCCTGAGTAACAATTCTGTGTCTGTCCCTGAGTAACAATTCTGTGTCTGTCCCTCAGTAACAATTCTGTGTCCCTCAGTAACAATTCTGTGTCCCTCAATAACAATTCTGTGTCTGTCCCTGAGTAACAATTCTGTGGCCCTAAGTAACGGTTCTGTGGCCCTAAGTAACGGTTCTGTGGCCCTAAGTAACGGTTCTGTGGCCCTAAGTAACGGTTCTGTTGCCCTAAGTAACGATTCTGTGTCCCTAAGTAACGGTTCTGTATCCCTAAGTAACGATTCTGTG